TCTTACTAGTTTACGAAGCATTGGGCAATCTATTTCTCTTTAACTAATTTCCAGAAGCTGCAATATAGAAGTGCAGTATTACTGCAAGAATATGCTCATCTTCACTAAGGCTTGGGATTTATATTGCAGAAATTCCTCAAATTCACATCACTCCAAGTGTATCATGTCCAAGTCACCTAGAGTCGCTATTATGGACGTTTACATTACTACCCAAGGAATGGCTGGGTTTCAAAGCATGATCAACCAGAGTCTTTTACATCGAACTGCAATTAAACTAAGCAGAGTACCAGTTAAAGCCAAAGAACACAAGTACTCAGCACATATATGTGTTGATACAGTACAATATGTATGTGTATATGTATATACGCATAAATATGTATATGTTACATTATAAGGAGAGTGCCATTCAGAACTTCTCAACTGCAAGAATCCTTTTACCACCTCCAAGTCTTGAAACTTCAGCCCATTAAATTTCACACCAAGACAATGAGAACTCCAGTATTTTCCAGACTGAACTGTTATTTCTATTTCAGACAAATAACCAAGCATGCCCAGTTGAAAAACCAGAGACTTTCAATTCAATAACACCAGTCCTGCCACCTCAGGCAGACGGTACAAACTTCTATCACCAGATTATTTGCCCCTTCCCTGCCCTATAGTTGCAGATCATGGGCACTTCTATGAGTTCTCAAACCATCACCAGAGTCATACTAACTGATCTGTATCAATCTACTCAGTTGTCAGAGAAAATGCTGTAATTTATGAAGTAATTTCAAACAGCCAGTGCGGATCTAACGAGAACCAGGTTTATACTTTGCAGTACTGGCTGGAGTCATATTGGTTTTCATCATGTGATGGTTCTGCCTTTTCATCCCCAGCAAGCCCGCTTCTACTCATAGTGGCTGTCATCCTACATACAACCTAAGAGCTAGACAGTCTAGGATACCATACTATTCATTGTAATCCTGAAACCCAGATCTTATAAAGGTCTGCTGTACAAGTTTCACATATAGAGCTGAAAATAGCCTCATTTAAATGACTTTGAGAAGTTTCATTTGTCACTTTTAAAAAAAGAAACAGGAGCAACAAAGTAAAACAACACAAACCACCAAAAATAAATGCAATAGGCACTTAAAAGCAAATTAAATGTAAAGCCCTTCGTGGATATTTAGATAAGGGAGAGCTACTTGTTTCCCTCCCCTTTAACCTATCTAGAATTTAGACATCTAGCCCAGACTAATCATTTGTGCTTCCTCCAGCCCTGAGGAAACAAGTTTCCTTCTGGAGGCTACCACATCCTCAAACAGGGAAAATGAGTCTCTCAACTGTAACCACAGGGAGAGTCTCAGATTACCTGTCACTTACACAGGTGAGACAAGTCTCGCTTCTCACACAACCATTAACACAAATCCTGAAGGCTTTGCTAGATTCCTGCATGGACAAACTCACCGACTTCAACAGGGCAAGTGTTTGCTTTTATGCTTTGGGGAGGTGGAGGGGAAGGTTTGTTGGCAGCCCAATCACACACCAGTGTTGCTCTGACCACTTGCAGTAGCTGTTCAGCCATGATGGTTCATGGCCCGTTTGCCCACATAAAACAACAGGGATGTTACGCAACATCATGTCAAAGGGTCGTTTTCTCACACCCAGAGATGTATCACAGCCTGCACCTTCCTCATGGCAGACAGAGGAGCGGAAGGTGCTGATCTCCTCTCTCTGGTAACCAGCAATAGGACACAAGGAAATGGAATGAAGCTGCATCAGGGCAAGTTCAGGTTCAACATTAGGAAAAGGTTCTTCACCAAGAGGATGGTCAGTCACTAGAACTGACTTCCCAGGGAAGTGGCCATGGTACCAAGCCTGTCAGGGTTCAAGGACCATCTGGACACCACTCTTAATCATGTGGTTTAGTTTTAGGTAGTCCTACAAGGAACAGGAGTTGGACTTGATAATCCTTATGGGTCCCTTCCAACTTGAGATATTCTATGATTCTATGTTGAAGTAACTTGACATTCTTCTAGACACCAAACTAGCTGTCCTGTGTTTTCATGGGTGTGTATGTTACTTGACCACAATCCTCCAAATTTCTGCTGCGACTACAGAGGTTCAACAAGGACTAGAACTACTCTGCCAAGTAGGTGTAGGTCTTACACATAAAAGTCACACAGCTCTACAAATAGGCCAATAGAGGTAAAACAGTAGAGTCCACCCAGGACAATATTTATAATCTACGGGCTTGCTTATTCTCATATACCTTCTTACAGCATGGAAAGGAGAACAAAATATATTGTCAAATTCACCATCATATTGCTATAAAATTACTCTATTTTATAAAAAAATCTAAATAAAACAAGGCCCTAACGGAGAGCTATTTTTGTGCCAAATTAATCAATCAAGTGCTACTGAAACACTGTGAGTACTTTCACATATAATTCCTTACTGGCAAGATTTGTTTTTTAAACAATCAAGAATAAGTTATAATTTTTAAAAAATAAGCAAACAATTCTGTCTCTGAGTCTGGGAGCAAAGCTACCTCTGTCCTTTCTTCACACTGCCATGTTTCCATATTGTTGTGTTTCCCGAGTTACAGGGCTATCACATGTAAATGGGTTCAGTACAGGCTACACCGAGACCTTTTTTTTAAACCCTTCTCATCAGGTCAGACTCCCCCGAGTTGCATGCCAGCAACAGCCAGGCCATATATCGGGCCAGTACTCCAAAAGGGGATGAAAAAGCACAGCCAATATACAGCTTCCAAAGCACTTTCCACAAAAGAAACTAAACCTCTTCTGGGACACAGCTGTACATTGGTCCCACCTACTAACAAAACCAGCTGGAATTTACTCCATTTTGAAACACAGTTCTAACTGCATGACCACAACCTGGGTGCCTCAATGCCCAGAGCTGGGGACACCCCAGCTGTTCCCCTCCACACAGAGCAGTCTGCAAAGTCAGGGAAGTGACACAGGCACCAAGGGAGGGTCAAGTTTGACACAGCCTCACCTTCCACTCAAAGAGATGGCCTTTGCCATCCTCCACAAAGGTATTTCTTCCCCAAAAGCTCCCCACAGCTTCTCTGTCTGATCTCCCCTCTCTATCAGGAGACCACTCACAACCACTTCACTTATACCATCTGGTCCTCAACCAAGAAGCCTCAAACTCCTTCACTTCAAGAGGAAGAATTGCCATGGCCCAAAGCTCAGGCGTCCTTTTTGGAGGAACACCACAATTCATGGAGTATCCAGCACAGCCAGTTGAGCACGATCATGCCTAAGTAGGCACTGTTATTCAATTAGCTGAATTGGCTTAAGGTTTTCCCATTGTAACACGACTTTTCTATTATAGTATTATTTTTGGTATAAAAAGAACCAGTGGGGATGGGTGGGGGGTTTTGCGCAAAACTTGATGTTTTTAATAAAAAAAAAGGTTGCTTTTCTCAATATTTTGCTGTTTATTTCTGTTGGGAAAACTTGAAACACATCGGTTTTGTCAGAAAAATATCAGTCCGTGTCTGTCCGAATTCCTTTGGTGTCAGCTGGGAGTTGTAATTCATGGTCTCCATGTCCCTCTCTTTCCCAGCAGGCTGGGCTGCTGGGCACCCCTCCAGCCTTCATGACGCATTCCCCCTTTGACTAACCGACGGTAAAAGCATCATGGGATCTGTAACGCAGCCAAGGAGCTCAGCCCCAAGGGAGACACGGCACACAAGGCACTTGAATGATAATTTCTGAGGTCTGCAACAGTAGCTCAAACTGATGCTGCTTTAAGGGCCAAATGGATTTAATTAAATGTTTCCATTTCAAAAGGATAGAGCATTTTCCAGATGTCAATTTTTCATTTTTTGAAAAATTTCCATTCCAGGAAAGCTTTTGGTATTTCAGCTTTCCACCTCAATTCAGGGTGAAACTGATGTTCAAGTATTATAGTTTGATTCTATATGAACATTGGGTTTGAGAAATAGCCTTATTTATTAGCTGCCAAAAGTGAAATGACTCCATCCATGCAAGAAGGGTGTGATCCAGTTTGCCTTTAACACCAATAGAAGCTACTTTTTCAGCTTAAGGGAACCTGGATGGTGTCCCAAAAGACCAAGGGAGAGTGGAGCTGACCATAGTCAGAGATATTGCAAACAGGAGTCAAGAGTAAAATAGCAAGAATATAAAAAGCAGAACTAAGATGACCCGTCACCTGGACTCAATGTAGTGGTGGACCTGGCATTGCTAGGTTAGTGGTTGGACTCGATGATCTTAAAGGTCTTTTCCAACCTAATTGAGTCTCTGATTCTACAACTCAGTTTTACTTAATTTAGCGATTAATAGGAGAAAAAAAATCATTGAGATTAAAAAACCTAATTACTGGTTACAGTAAAGATAGCAATTAATCAATGCTTTGTAGAGTAGAATGAATCTATAGTATGAATTTGTCTTGAGCTCTGGGTACCATGAGGACTGGATACCAAATCCATCCTCTACATTACCCAATCTGGTTTTGGATATAGTTCCAAGCCTTCTACCTCAAAAGTAAAAGAGGAACCCCAGGGAGCCTATGTCCATCAGCAACAGGGTGTGCATTGAAAGTAAGAGAGCACTTGGAACAGTAAATTAACCAATTAACCCAACCATGAGGGTTCTAGAGAATTGGGTTTTGTTTATCTTTCATTTCCCTTTAGTACAAGGCAGATGTTTTAAAGTAATAAGCAGAAACCTCGACAATTTTAAAGACTGAAGAGGAAGGGAGGGAGAAAGAAACATGCACAAGCTTTGAGGATGTTCTCAGCTCCAACTTCAAAAACAAACAAAAAAAAAACAACAAAAAACCACACAGTCACACACCACCAGAAATGTATATCTGTAAGAGCAAGTTTCTCTTTAAGCTGTTTGGTAATTTTTAGTTTAGAGGAGCATTTTGTCCAGAGGGTTCTTCATGTTTCCAGTCTAGGTTGTAGCAATCTCAGTGAGGCACTAAATTTCAGGCTGTTAAAGTCTTTCTGTGCAGCATGGTCACTTTAAAATGATGTGGTAGCCATCATTGCTTTCAGCTGTAACAAAGAAAGGCAAAGCATTTTTTCATTGTTTTTAGAAAACAGCATGGATACAGAACTCCAGATTTTCTTCTTAGGCAGTTTGCAATAGTTTGTACTCTGGTGCCTCAACCCACTCATGAAAATCAATGTTGAACATCTAGGTCAAAGCATTTACATAAAAAAAATATAGTATGTTAACTGTCATCCTTTACCATTTTACTAGAAGGTTTTCTGCTCATTTATGTCAGTGGTATCAATGGATTTATGAAACTTTTATAAGAGTGTAATTGAGAAAGAAGCATAGATCAATCAGTCTATCATAGCATAAGTTGATGCAACACCTTGACTTACACTAAATTAGATTACTTATCTTTTCAGGATAACAGCACTGAGTTTGTGATAACGTTTAGTGCAACTGAAAGGAGAAATTACCTTTACAGCTATATGTAACAGCGGCAGCAATACATACCTTTCAATGTGCTGATAACAAAACAAGATTCATCTTGGAAATTTTGCACCATCTGAAGGGCAGAAAGAAAAGAAGACAAAATAGAATATTTTTAGCAATTACATTCAAGTTTCTTTCAGTGCCAACATAGACTTTAGAGGAGAGGTATCAAGCAACATTCAATGTCTAACCCTATGCAGTCCTGAGTAACTCTGCTTATAAGATTATTAAAGTATATGACTGATTAATGAAGGTCCTTCCAGGTGTTAATGTGCTCACACTAAAGTGCTTGCCTAGAACTGATCTAGCTTGTTCAGCATTTTACCATTGCCTTTGCAGCTCTTGAGCCTGCAAATTCTTATACTGCTCCTGTTAGTCTATTGAAGACCATGCTCTTAATGGCCTTCAGTGAAGCTATGCTAGTTTAGACTAAAGATAGTCCTTCTCCTAAAATCTAACAGTGGTAATACACATTCACCTGAACAACGAAGCTCAGTGGAGCTTACATTGCATCTAAAATAGTATCTAGAAGTGGTCAGCTCAGAGAAAAAGACTCTTTGTCAAATAAAGAAATACTGCTACTGAAAAGCCATCTCGGCAGTGTCCACTTCGTTATTTTGACCAGACATGAGTATAGATGCTGTGCTTGCAGGAATCACAAGAATCTTAAGGAAATCACTATGAAAAGCACGGTAGATCATGGCAAGTAAGATTAATATCTAAAGCTGTTTGAGTTATTCATGAGAAACAACTAGATTTTCAGAACACATGCAGGTTTCTAATGACACCCTTAACTGAAGAGGTGAGTTAAGAGATTTGGCTGACTTCAGATCCAACCTGAAATGCTCATTTAAGCTTCATTATTATTGAATGCCTCCTCCTATCTTAGAGTAGCTGTGGGGGACAGAGGAGGTGAATTACCTTCAGGAGGTGTCTCATTAGCTGAAGCAGACGCTGGACACCTAAGTTCAAGGAGGGGAGGTGACCAGAACCTCTCCAATCAGCTCAGAAAAATCCATCCTTTAGCAAAAGCCTTCTCCCAGCTATTGAATGTGATTCAAGTAGAGCACTCTCCAGCTCTAAGCTCTCACACCAAACACTGTTTTCAACTTAGACTAATCTCGCTATTCTTTTTCGGTTTAACCTCCACCCCCTACTCCCGCAAATCAAAGTTTGCTGGCCAGTCTGTGTGCCTGCACCTAATGATGCATGAAGTACATTCACAGAGTGCCTTACTCTTGCCACTATAGTACTAAAACAAGAGAAAATTATTAAAAAAGCAATAGACATTGTTAATAATTGACTTAAATAAATACTTAAAGGCTTATACTCAAGTTGGTTCAGGCAATTCCCCTACCAAGAGTTGCCTCCAAGCACTTTACATCCATAAAGCATCAAGGTTTCAGATTTAATCAGGCTGAAATAGCAAGGAGACTTTAGGAATAAGCATTACAGCCTTCAATTTAGGCTCCAGTTGAGACCTATGCTCTGCTTCATTTGTTTTAACAATGTTTCATATAAATGAAGCTCCTTAAGTGATTCTGGTGCATGAATGAGTAAGTAATTTAGTTGAGAGAAAAGAGGAAGAAGGGCAAGTCACTATTAACCCTCAACTTAATGGTATGGGCTAAATTAAGCCATCACCTGATGGGACACAAACCGCTAGCAGTGGTCCATTACATTATAGGGTGCACTTACACTACACTGACTCTGACTCAGTGGCTGTAATCACTGGCCAAGATGTAAGACCTTACAGATTTCCAAATACACCTTCTTTAGGAAAATTTCCTAATTAGTTTTAAAGGTTCTCACTTTAGGTCCTCACTTCAAATTTGTCCAAGTAGTCAACATGAAAATTAAATGACTGATTTTTCTTGAGTTTTGTTTTAAAAAAAGCCCCACAACACCTCTTTTATGAAGCAAAGGTCTTAAAACCAGACCAAAATCAATGGTACGCATGAATTATTTGCTTGAAGTATTTGCTTTAACTTGCTGGGGTTATTAACCTCGCAAAGCTTCCTTGAAGATTCATTCCATAATTTGAAAGGTCATTCTAACTTCAAGAGGTCAAGATAACTTACAGCTCTGACAGCATTTACAGTAACCCCTTACCTCATTGCTCACTAATACATGGATCCCTGTGGGTCCCTGACGATAGATTCGATTTATCTGCTGTGGAGAAATGCTGTACAAGTTTGCAATCTTCTCAATTAATTCCAACGTAGTCAGTTCTTCCAAGAAGATCGCATGATATACTGCAACAAGTCAAAAGCAGTTACAAAATTATACACTAATTTTAGAACAGCAACTACAGATAACACCAAGATGCTCAATATCAACAAGCAAATGGGTTTAAGATCAAGGTTCAAATCTGATCAACAGTTAAAAGTCTTAGTACCTTTAAAGAAGCCCTTAAATATCCAGTTTGATGATTTGTATAAAAATATCCACTATTTGGATGCAGTGGGCAAATAATGCACACATCACTTTTACCCAGTGGAAAACACACAGACTAAAGACATGTATCATGGGGCCCTAAAAAAAAAACCTCTCAAAATTGTTCATGTTTTTGGGTAATTTACTTTTACTGATTTTGATATTTTAAAGTAGACCCAATTAAATCTTAAAACACATGGTATCATTTACACAAAATAGTATTTTATTAGATGTTATCCCCCTGATGCTATAGCCACAATCTGTAGATGACAATAGTACTTTTTTTAACCAAACCAATGGTAGAAACAACCAGGTAGAAAAGCTGTGCATGGCTAATACTATGTGCAAAAACTAAGGACAATCTGTATTTTCATTTGATTGTAGATTTTGTCGAGAGAGATAGTTTAAAGGAGTGAGTCCCCAAAAGCTTTGAACTTCCAAGAGTTAGAACCTCACTTTCACACCAACCTTCCTTTTCTCAGAATATGTTCAAACATGCCATAATTTAAAGCAAATTGTGGATGAGAAAGTAGCTTTTAATGCAATGGTCCCTATTAAGAACTGAAGAGATATTTTGCTGTGGCATTCTGCAGATAACTTGTAAGTTGGGTGCATTCCCCAGGCACACAGTACCAGTCAGAATCTGTAAACTGACCAAAGTGGCAGAATAGGAGAAAACAGAACCTCTTTTAACACTCAGGACACCAAGCTGTCCCAGGCAGGAGCTCAGGCAGAAAGCAGCATTCTCACCACGTAGGCGTTTAACAAAATCCACACGCAAAAACTTACCACAAAGACTGCCATCTCCATTTTCTCGTTTTTGGTGGAGATGTGATCTGTTTTGCTCTGGTTCTTGGCAGACATAAATTGTCATCTTGGGCCTCACATTTCTATGGATTATTAAAAAACAGTAGTGAGTTATTTAGTAGATCTAAAATTGTTTCGGTCACCTACCAAACAATGAGAGGTGGAATCATTCAGGTTGTGTGTAAATAACCAACTAAGGGATAATCTTGATAATGGTGACTAGATGTCATAGAAGGCTATGTAAGAGCCCCTGGGAGGGGATCATACAGTGCAGAGCACCTTAATCTCTTCAGGATCAAGTGCAATAAGTTTATCGCACTTGCCAAGCAGCTCATCACATCTGCTTTTATTGATCTGAATCCTGCTCAGCTGTAGAATTTATGATGTTATTGCAATAAAAGTAAGTTTAAGAGTCCTTTGAGGCTCCAGAGGTTGGTTGGCTGGTTTATTACCTGTGATGGAGATGCAACAGAGAGTATTGTAGGCTCGCTCTCTCATATGAGAAGTGGATGGAAGTTACAGGCTAGTAGCAAATAAACCACTGGACATCACATTATACTGCTTTACTTCTCACTTCTGAGCTATGCTTGGATTTGAATACCATTGTGATCTCCAGCCCCTGAGACGACCTCTTTGAAGTGTTAAAAGGAATGCTACAGCTCTAGGATTAATTTCTAATTAACACTGGAATTACCAAGTGATGCTACCATAACAAAAAAATAGGAAGGAAGAAGTACAAACCTTCCTTTGATTGCATTAAAGAGCCGAATTCCATCAGCAGGCCCACAGATTTGAACAAAATCTTCTTTGGACATCTTCAGTAAGTCAGCACCTACATATTTCAAATTGATTTTTTTTAAAGTTAAGGAAATCTTAGCTTCCAAGTTGTGTGTATGGGCAGCAAGAAAGGGCAGGTGGAGAGAATGCACAAAGCTAAATCAGACAGATTTGCCTAGAGAAGTTGCAAATTCAGAGAAGTGTACACCGCAAATCAACCACTGCAAAAGAGAGAGCTAGAAGTTGCCACAGGAGCAGTTCTGCACTGGAAGATATTCTAGCCAACTCGGAGACAAGGTAGATATTTAACACCGACCATTAAACGGCACAATCTTTGCTAAGTGCTGTGTTCGCCAGTTTATTTAATCATGTTCCAAGTCAGAGAGAAGCTCCTTGAAGTTTCAACATCTTTAACAATTCCCCCTTCCACCATCTTACTGCTGTGCACAACTACCTAATGGGAAGGCACAGTGAAGATGGAGCCACAGATGGAGCCAGACTCTTTTCAAAGGGGCACAGGGACAGGATGAAAGGCAGTAGACAGATGATGGGAAACACTGATTAAGTACAAGAAAAAACTTTTTCAATGGGAGAGCAGTCAAGTATTTGAAGAGGTTGCTTAGAGAGAATGTGGAACTTCCAACCTTGAGGATACTCAAAGATACTTGCACAGGGCCCTGGACATGCTTCAAGCAGGGGGCTGCACCTAATGAACTCAAGAAGTCCCTTCCATCTTATTCTCTTCTGTCTTAACTTACTCTATATTTCTACAATTTGCTTAGGCAAATGTTAACTAGTCTAACAACAGAACAGTCACACTGGATTAGACCAGTGATCCCAGAGATCAACAGTGGCCAGCAGCAGATGCTGTTGATACAAGGCATGAGCTGCTCTTACAAAAGAGAATAAAAACAAAATAATCGACTGTTTAAACTCACCCGAAAAACTTGAGAAGAGTCTACAGAATGGAGAGAACCTATTACGATGAAGCCACTGCTGGGCATCTTGAATAGAAGCAGAAGGAAGGAGATGCTACATTGCAAAAAGAATAAGAAGGTCTTGAAATGAACTGTTCACCAGTGTCCTAAAAAAGAAAAGCACCACATTAACACGATCTCAAGTACTTACATCATTGCTGGGAGGCAGGAGCTCCACTTGATGGGTTGGAGAACTGTTGCTAAAAGAAATTATATAAAGTTGGAAGAGAAAAAACACATTATTTTAAATTTTACATTGCAGTGTCCATCCTCTTTCCTCTCCTCTATTTGACTTGACTGTCACAAGTTACATACCAGTTTGACTTTTTTCTCTACCAGATTTTTAAAAAGGCGTCCAAAATCTGGGCCAAAACAATAAAGAAATCCCTGCTTGAGTATTTTGTTGGTCAGTTGCGATCCTACTCAACACTGAGAGAAAAACTCAATTTACTGACCAAATTCAAGATTTTCCATACAGGTAACTCACTAATGCAACACAATCTAAGTAAGGAAGAGTAAGTGAACATAAAATTTCTGCAAACCAGAAATCCTCTAACTAAATCCACTGTCTAAGAGTGATTCTTCACAAAAAAAAAAAAAAGAGGACTTTATAATTCAACTCTGGTGTTACCTTAAACATGGTAAATTGCAATTTAACTATATTACACAAAATTAAATTTCTACTAAATCCTCCTAAAACATAGGGCTGCAACACGTCAAGGATTTTTCCAAAGAGTTTATAATCTACTACTGGAAGAAAACGCTCAACAGATCTCTCTGGTAACACTATTATCATTTCAGTGTTTGTCCTTATTCATAGAGGTCACTCATTGAAAATTTGTGATAAAACATTGATTAACTAACAAACTCTGGAGGAAAGTGACAAGGCTGCAGGGTCCTAGAGGAGAAGGCAGCCTACACCAAATTTCTAAGGGAAAGTACATTGCAGGGAGGACTCAGAAGTACTGAGGGAGTCTGCTGGATATTTCTGTCATCAGCTATAATCTTGTGTGTTTCAGGACCACTACAATTGTTTATGACAACTATATTAATGGATTAAACATGGCTCTTGCTAGTCCCTTGTTCTGGAACAACTTCTCAAAACCCAGGCTGTCTTCTCCCAGACAGGATTGTCTTTACTGCCCATTCAATTGTGAATTTAGCACCCCAAACCACCTCAGGACAGAAAAAAACAAATGCCAACTCTCAAGAGGTGCTTAAGGGTGAAAGCCTCTAACACTTTTGTTGGAAGATACTGGGAATTGTTGGTACAGGGCATTGTGTATTCTCTGACCCACACAGAAGAGTAAGAGAGGAAATTCATGGCAGCAATTGTCCTGGTCACCCTCAGATGGTCACTTCCCAGCCATTGCCTAAGCAGTGGACATATAAACTGCATTACAGAGAATTCCTGGCTTTGTGGAAAATGTTTTCCCCTTTCTAGGAAGGGTGATCCTTGACCTCTTCTTCCAGGGTATGAAATGCATAGACTCACAAAACACATGCACAAAAGACTAACAGGAAAGGTAAAGCATTTATTCATTACATACCCATCTCCAAGGTTGAAGCTGTTTGGAGAACTGTTGTAGCTTGGAGATGGAGCATTGTTCATTTGATAAGGCACATCTGGCCAGGGAGAGCACTGTTGGAAGAGAGGCAAGCAGGGATACTTTCGTAAGGATGGAAATAAAGGATTCGATTCTCCTCTCATACCACATTCATGCTGTTGCCACGCCACTAACTTCAGCTCATCACTCCTGCTGGGAGGAGGAGACGGGCCATGGATTTTCTACATGCTCTCCAAGCAGGCTGTCAGGGGGCCAGATTGATTCCAGTTGTGCATTCCACATTTCTCCCATTTCACAAAGCCTGTCCCCAAATAACACTGGGCCAAAGTGTGCACAGCTGTAAGTCAGAGCAACGCCAGTAAGTCAACTCAGACTGAAGGCAGCAATGCTACAGAAATACCCCTGGTCTCAATTATATATCCCTAATTAAATGCAGGCAAGAGTGACAAATACACTCCAGTGGCATTGCTTCAGGTTTATACCAGTGAAAGAGCAGATTTTGAACCAGCCTGTTCAAACCTCTGGCTATTAGTCAAAGAGTTCAAGCTATAAATGGGTATTACATAGAGAAAATTTAAGACAGACACAAAGCTACTAAAATATAGGTCAAACTCCATACTCCATTACAGAAGTGTAAAACCAGAGTAACCCAGCTAGAATCGGTGACTGCTCTGAATTTAAGGCACTGTAATCAGCAGGAGAAATCTAGCCCTGTGGAACCCTCTGCCATCAAGAGCTCAAGAAAACGTTCTGTAGTGTCCTTGTTTGCAATGATAAAAAGCCGACAAGCGTAGCTTTGGAGTTTTATCATCTCCACAAATACTAGCAAGTATTTTATCATCTCCACAAGCACTAGCAAATATTTAACTCTTTGGCAACCCACGTTTCCCCATGCAATATGTCAAAGTGCATCAGAACTCATATGGAGAGTTTGGGATCTGCCAGCTCAGTAGAATTAGGTCTGTGTACACAAGAGCCTCATTAACAACCACCACGTTGAATTGGAAAACACGTTGGTTGCTCCTGGCAACGTGAGGAAAATTGAGTGGGAGGGACTGGTTCTCACAAACAGGAAGTTTATTTAAATTAAGAAAAAAACCTAATTTTTGAAAGTCCAGCAAGCCACTTCAAAAAAACAAGAACTAAATCAAACGACATGACATTCCCACAGGGAGACAGAAGGAGCACTTTTAAACCACTGTCTCGAGTCCTGTTTCTTAGTTATGCTGCAGCCTAGGGTGAGCTTATATACACATCTTAGTACGAGCAGAGAGGGGGAGAAACAAGTACATCTCTACACCAGATGCATCAGAATATAAGATATTCAAAATATTCCTAGAGTACAAGCCAGAATGTTCTGAGATGTTGTATGTAATAGTAGCTACATAGATATTTTCAAAAAAGAACAGATTAATAACTTAATCAGACAGCCTATACATCTGTTCAAGTGCCTCATGTCCAGCATGAGCTTTTGCCAGACAGTTCTGAAGAAAATCTCATACAACTGACATCTAAGTGCCACAACAAGTGCCTGGAAGTGGAGCAGAAGAAAAAGAAAATGTTTCTTTCAAAGCTAGGCTGTTAAAGATTGGTTTATACCTAGAAACATAAGAAACTTTGGCATCTTTTATAAACTTCAACAATGAGAGACATTTTACAAAATCACTCCACTGTCCATTTCAATCAGATCTGAGCATACGTGTCTCCACAAGACAATCTCCAGGGCTCAGACAGCATTTTCTCTCAAAATCATTTCCCAAGATGTTGAAGTAACATGACGCGTCTAAAACACATTACCTCTGTGAGAATAGTTGTCTCATAGGAAGGCTGATACTTCTCCTTCTCTTGGGTGGTCTTCTTCTCCATTTTTTCCCTGTCAGTCTTCTGTTTTCTGTCTGCTCCTTTAGGCTATAAGCACAAGCACAAGCTTTCCCTTATGCCAACTTTGGAGACAGAGGCCAACAGATTTTGGTTTTTTTTTTTTCTAATCTGTTCACAAAAGTCTCTTTCAGATTTATATGGGGACTTTACATATGGAACAAGCTCAGATCTGCATTTTCTAGACAAAAAAAAAATTAGTTAAGCATCTCTACTGTTTCTATAACATCCTCCATTAATGTCTATTGCAATTCCAAAATAATCTGACCAGTTCTGAGATTTGATACTAACTACTTCAGATCACGAGCCCCAGACTTATGGGATTCAACTGGTATTTGCAACTTCTCTCCAGGAACAGGAAAGACGTTGCTCACAGGAGCAAAACTGGAGCAGCAGATCCTTTGAGAAAACAGACCTATGAAGAGCTCGTTGTTAAGCGGCTGCAGGTCTGCCATGCCCAGATTAGGATCTTCACAGATGCTTTCTTTCTGAATCTTTCTCTTCTCCAGGCAGCATGGAGAGGAACTCTGCTGCAACAAGCAATGGGTGTTTAACATCTCCACGATAGATTCTCATTGTTCATGGAGGATTGAATCAAAGAAACTGGAGATGCCATAATGTTTTGATTGCCTAGGAGTACCCAAACACAGTAAATAGCCTGAATATCTCAGTATTTGTATAGAGTTCAAGACACAATGGACTGACATAAGTCTTGGGGCAGCACTTGGGTCATTTGAATTTAAGTATAATTGCTGTGTAGTTCAGTGTTTACGTCACTTTGAGTGCAAGAGTCCTGCTTAAGATCTTAAGCATGGCCAGTTAAAAGTATGCTCTTCTGTTTGACTATTTGCACCACTCCTGCACAATTTAAAAATCTACACGTTCCTGTGTCTTAATCTAGTCAAGGACAAAGCCAAAACTACCTCATACCTTGAACACTTTGATCTGGCAGCTTGCAGAATGCAAGTGTTCTGTGTATTCACCATTTTCATTCTGCTTAAAGGTGTCGATTTGCACCCGGAAGGGCACCCCTTTCTCTCCTCCATGTTTCCGTGGAGTAAATTCTGTGCTGATGCAATGTACCTGGCAAAACAAAAGCTGTGCTCATCTCTGGAGACAGTTGGAAGCTGCGCAAATCTGAATTTTAGACTGTGCCTGAACATGAGGTTTTGGCTCCTCCTGAGAAGCCGGAGAGGCAGAAGAGTTCATATGTTTTCATTTCTGTTCCTCAGGACAAAACAATTAGATGAACAAGCAGCCCAGAAAGAAACAGGGCATCAGGAAAAGCATTCTTTGACTTAAGTAAATCTCACATACAGATTAAAAACAGATAGTTGACATTTGGGATAAGAAACACTCATGAAAGAGGAAAGCAAGCAAAACTAACAGGTTGCGAAGTTTCCTCCAGGCAAACTCCATGCTTAGAAAGCAACATTAATTTATTTATTCTTTTAAAAAGAAAATCATAGCTGGAGCAGGTAGCACCCCAAAGCTACCAAGTTGGTTTAGCAAGTATCCTACAAATTAATTCCATGCAATTGTCCCTTGACTTTGTATATTATCATTAGTATCTTTCTCTCTTCTTCTTCATGTCCTGGCTAGCTTAACTCTCCAGCTTTTTCTAAGATATCTGACCACTGTATTTACTACAAGAATATCACTTCTCTCTTACCTGAATGAATGCTGAGGCTCGCTTTGATGGATCCCACAGAAATTCGACCGTGTTCAACTGTGTGGGGCTGGCCCTGGGATCCAAGATACCAACTGACAGCGGAATATCTGTAGAAGAAAACCCCTAAAATTTTAAAAATATTAAATTGAAGAAGAGAAAGCATTTCCATATAATTACAAGATGCATGTGAAAAGCCAAGCCACCAATGATACATCTATCTGGGACCTACAGTGCTATATCTCCTTCCCACCCAAATATATGCAGAATTCTGAAGAGAGCAGGATATAAAAAACCTAAACACACATGCAAAACACTCCATACATCATTCAGCATCTCACTTCCAAACACTGCACAGGACTCACAATAAAATAGTCTCACCTATATCAAGGATGCGGTCCCCAGGCCGACTCCACCTCCAGCCCTCGAGCTGCTGATGCTCAGTGTACTGCAGGCGTCGATCATGGAAAACTACACGAATTATACTCTGTTAAGAAAAGATGGCAAGATGAGTAACGTGATCCGGAGGCCCTTCTTTTGAAATGAATTTGGTTTTCCAGCGTAGAAGTAAAAGCTGATCTGTTATGGTTCTCACTCCCATTCATGAAGAGAGTAGAGGGTCCACCTAAGAGACCCATCACCATGGTTATCAAATTCGTAAGGGACCCCTGAGTGAGAGAGCAACACACTTTCCCCTTCACAGGGCACATCTACACTGCGTAACACAGCTCTGTACCACTTTCTGGGATTTGGTCTGGAAGCACTACAGCAACGTCCACCTAAATCTTAGGTGTCATGCCGCATAAACATCGCTATACTGCCTCCATATCCAAAATGGCTCACACAGGGCTAATATTCAATGTGTCTGTACCATGTCCCAACCCCACTGTATCCTCCTCTGATTAGCAAATGTGAAAGCCAGCTCACTTGTCCTTGCACCAGAGGAGCTGACTTGCCCAGACACCTTGTCAGTGGGAATTAAACTTGATTCCAGCCATCATCAGCCAGTCATTGGATTTGCCCCAGCACAGTTAAGTAAGTCTAAAATAAGAAAGCTTCTGTAACAGGAAAATTTTCATCTCTGCTCTGCAACGGTGCAGCCATGTCAATAACTGGAGAAAAGACTGGAATAAGGGTAATCCCCAGGGCAGACAAGTCCAAAATACCCCTAACTAATATATCCTTTTACATATTCAGAGTGCTATAATTGCATGACTTAATGACCCCTTATATCTCATTTTCTCAAGTCCATGCTCCTGCTGGCGTCTTCTGTATCAAATGTGTGATTGATTTTTGACAATGAACCTGAGAAACACCCTAGAAAACCTAGCTCCAAGAAGCAAGCCAGCCACAGTGGAAAAACCTGCAAAATTGGAATCCCAGTCCACCTGCTTCCTGAAATGGGATAAAAAAAACAATAGAGAACTGCCTAAACTTGGACAACATTTGAAATCCAGATTGGAATCCAAATTTTGCAACTAGTCCCCACTTCTCAGAAGAAATCCTGAGGCAGAACAGCCAAGAATTGGGGAGAGGAAGGCTTGAAGGTTGGATCCAGAACCAAGGTTCAGATCAAAGTTTTGGAATTTGAACTGTTTTAGGAAGGGGGAAACAGTGGGGAAAAAAAAAATCCCCCAGACCAAACAGTCAAAGTTCTGTACGTTCATAATTATGCCCATTACCAAAGTAAACTGAAGCTATGCAGAACCCGCATGGCAGAACGATGTAAACACCAGGGTCCTCCATTTGACATGTACTAACCCAGGCCTGTTGTTGGGGTTGAGAAGGGAAATAAGTCTGCCTCTCAGCAGTTTTGATCATGTTCACCTCTGAACTTTGGGATTCCCCTGAACCCAATATTCACAGTGAAATTCTGGGGTCATGATCACAAACAGAATAAATGTTCCCCTGAAGCCCTGTAAAGCCAAGTGCATAGTCCCATGAAACTAGCACTGAACAACTCCATCAGCCCTGCTCCCATTAAAAACAATGGCAAACTATTTTCCATTGTCTCAGTGTGAGCAGGCTCTGGCCCTTCATTAGATGCTGTATGTAGTAGCAGGAAGAAAAGAAATCTATTTCTCCTTACCTTTACATATTTTGTGTTTAAATCTTGAAACTCTCCCAATTTCCTATTCTCAAGTAGACGGATTTCATAAGACTGACCTAGAGTTTAAGGAAACATTTCCAAGGTGTTTAATATGTTGTAGCAATGAGAGAGTCATGCTGGCATTCACGTGGCTAATAAAGCATACGTTTGATCAGGGAAAGCTCATTTTTGGTAACATAATGCATTTGCCCCAGTAACCAAGTAGGCGCTAAAGCACAGCAGAAATCTGAGGGGAAGGTTTGTCTTTTGGCAGCTGAAAACTCTCAGTTAGGGTGTCAGTCATAGTCTGTCTCCCAGGGCTGCTACAGTTTTCTGATCATCCTTCAGAAAAGTCACCAAGGTGTTCCAGGCACTGCCTTTGTCCTGCTGCTGAGGCAATGGTTGTGTGAAGAGCTGCTGGCACAATAGGTTCAAGCACTATTCTGCAGAGGATAGCAACCAGGCAAAATCTTGCCTCCTTTGGAGTAGTCAGGTTTGTAAGATGTTTCAGTGAATCAGAAATAGAAGATTTGTTCCATAAGGCCTTGAATGTGGCTCCCCAGGGTACAAATACTCCTTCAGACACGCGTGTGGAAGCAGCAACAAGTATTACAGCATGTGCAAGGACCAGCATGGGAACGAAATTCATACTCCAGCGCCCCACTACCACTCTCAGCATAAGGAATTTAGCCAGTTCAGTAGAATTTAGCTAAGTGCTTTATGAAATAACATCTCCCTCCAAGACTGACGGAAGACAAAGGAGACCAATGTCTCAACATCTTATGCACGAACGGCTAAAACAGCACAAAAGCTGATAGTATAGGTCCGAATCTTTAAAATAAACCTAGAGCTGGTACAGAGGCAGGACAGGATCACTACGATCAATTGAGTATATGTATACCTTAGGGCTAGTTTTTCTTGTTGATCTTGCTACCCTTTTACTGAAAAACGTACAGGGTACGACAAGGCAGGCACCAAGAAGGAAACCAGTTTGGGTTTTCTGGTTTAACCAGTATCTCCGCAGAACTCCCACTGCGGAAGACTACAAAGCAGATAAACTGCCCCTCTAAGCAGTTGCTATCAGTAGAGACAAAAAATGCTACATTTCTGGATCTAGAAACAGAAGACTTAGGACAGCAGATGTGTCAGAAGGGCACCATGTTTCAAGGCAGATTCCCTTTTGGGAACACCAGCTCCTCCAGTTGCCAGCATGAGTACAGACCATATCACTAGAGCACTGTGCTTATTCAGCTGGTTGGCAGGAAAAAAAAATAATAAAGAAAAAAAGGACAAGAAAGGTCATATTGAAGCCCCAAATGTTTGCACAACACTCCTACTGATGTCAATAAGAGTTCTGCAAACAGGAAATGACCCTTGAATCCAGAAAGCAGATTAGGGCATGGGGACAGGGGAGAACAAACCATATGAAGTGCTACATTAAGCACTGGAAACATGCATAGATCTTAACCCACCTCTTTGTTCATGAGTAAAGCAAAATGACAACAGTGACCTTCCTTTGAAGATTGCTGGACAGCAAAAGTGGATTTTGTAAACCACAGCCCTGAAGTTGAGATGTTGCACACCAACTTGCGAGACTTTCTAATGCTCCCACTGATACAAATATCGTTAATGTAGCAATTTTTAGAGAGATGTACATCTCTCTCCACATAATCAGTACTGTTGCATTAGCACTAACAAGATCAGGCTCAGGTTCACAAAACTGATTTTCTCTCATAGAACCACTTAGGTTGGAAAAGACCCTTAAGATCATTGAATCCAACCATTAACATAGCAGTACTGAGTCCACCACTAAACCTAAGCACCACATCTGTTGCACTAAGTACCTGTGTATATACTGTACATGTGCACCTATGTGGTATGAAGTACTTGGCTGCTCAGTGGCTCAGTTCAAGGATAGATTTCACCAGTGAGAGACTGATACAGTTCATTGCCTCAAACAAATCATAGCCTTAAAGATCATCTAGTTCCATTCCCCCACCATGGGCAGGGACATCTCCCACTAGACCAGGTTGCTCAAAGCCTCATCCAGCTTAGCTTTGAACACTTCCAGGGATGCAGCATCCACAGCTTCCCCAAGCAACCCATTCCAGTGTCTCACCACCTTCTACACAGCCAAGCATCTCTTGCATCTACAGCTCATTCCCACACAAATATGATGCTAATTAATCATTACATAAAATTATTTTAGAATTTGAGACTATGATCATCCAACAGAGTAAACCACATCTCTGATTGTACTCTGATGGGGTAACAAAGAAATTTAGTGGCACAAGCTGCCAGCCATTGAGCGAGTATCTCAGGAATGAGCAGGTTTTGGGGACATCTTTGTGCATTGATACACTCCTACTCGTTGGTCTGCCTGATTTGTTTCTTTGTAGTTCCAATGAGACAAAAGCAAATAACGGGCATAAAAACTTTGGCCACATTCCTTTCAAGCAGTCAAAAACTCCACATCATGAATCTTCCAACCACTTGCACAGCATAGGAACAATACTGCAACCTGGCAGCCAGCGGGCACTGCACATCCCTCACCGACAGGAGCGATTCAGCTTGGATGGAATTAGAAACCGATTCTGCCCCACTGGTAAAACAAACTATAGTGGAGACAGAGTTAATATAAAATTGAAAGCCAAAGAAGAAATAAAATGCTTTGATGAAAGAGATATAAGTCATCTGATGTAAGCCCTGGAACTCAGTTTACACCATGAACAGCCTCAATCAAAATGGTATTTTATGCTAACTGCTTTCCCCTTGACCTCTGAATGTTTCACTCCAGTTACTATACAGAGCTGTTATCAAAACAAAACTGCTCCCAGCCAAGCTTCAGATAACATGCAGTTTACTTGCCTCTCCGCAGAACTCTCTCAGTGAGAATTTGGTCCTAATTCCACACAATTTCTTTACACATAAACGTTTTGGTATTGATTTAGAAAAATTCATTCTCTCTACAAATTATTCCAGCATATTCATTGCCTTGTGGCTAGTAGTACCCATAATTCATTGGTATAGCATGGGCAGCATTCAAACACTTGTACTTTTATAGCACCAAACTTGTCTTACCTTATGTTTTCCACCATCTCCGTGAGCAAAACTCCCAAAATGGTGAATTACGGTCTCAGCCCTGCAACTATAACAATTGCAGGGGGGAAAAAAAGCCCTAACAGAATCGGTACTTGGATAACAAGATACTTGGAAAACAAGATAACTTTGTAAAATAAAGCAAATAATAGTGGTCTAACTTGAAGAAAGCTTGAAGAAACTTGAAGAAAACTCCCTCTGGTGTCAGTGGGCAAAGAAGTCACTCAAGGCTCCGGTACACAGATCGTCCATGAATCCTCCATCTCTGTCTCACCAGCACTAGCAGGCATAGACTGACAATTTTCTGCTACAGTTAAGTTAGATAATTTTTACTCAGGTATATGGAGAGACACGGATTTGACAGATGAACCA